ATTTATAAAAAAATCTAGGATCTACAAAATCGATACGAAGAATATCGAATCCCCTTTGATCCCCTTCTTTTCTTTTAAAATTGAACAACATCCCATATTCCACACCCCAACCTAATTTTTTTACAACCATTGTTACAATTTTATCTGATATCACGCTCTGACACGAATGAACCCCGTTGGGACCAACGTTATAAATAATATTCCACGTTCCATTTACTAATTAAACCCATCCCCCTTTTCCTTATTTTTCAATCCATCGCGTTGAAATAAAATTCCTTCCCTTAAGTATTTCACAATAACCAAACTTGCACCATCCCTATCGCCATTAATTACCCCCTCCCCAAGACAAGAGAATCGTCTTCCGGAAGGAGCGGAAACGATAACGAGGACATGGAGAGACCGGTAATTGCACGCCATCCACGTACCATCCACGAATGGAGCCGCGCAAACATCTGTCATGTACCTTGCGCGAACAATGCGCCACGGGAATAACAAACGCCTCTCTCTCTCTCTCTCTCTCTCTCTCTCTCTTCCTCTCCCTCTCTCTCGAGGAGAAATTCGTTCGTTCGATCTTCTACGTCGATTACCTCGACCGATCGATTCCCCGTGTCACAAACCGCGGCACAAAAGCAATTCTTAGCCGATCCAACGCGCGCGATACACACACGGTTATTATCGATGCATTTATACACACGTGCGGGTATAATGGAGCGATCGTGTGCACGCGATTGCGGGGGCGGGTAAACACGCGTGACGGCGCGTTATTGGTTGGTGTTGTTGTGCCTCGTTTCATCGACGGAATTTTCGAGAGGGGGCGAAGATTCGCGGTGACTCGAGGAGCGTGCCGCCAACGGTCCAGGCGGGGGAAGGGCGAAGATGACAACGGTGGGGAAACGGGGAGGGAAGCCGGATGTTTGCTCGGAAATAATTCATCGTCCGTAACTCGGTCGAGTAGCCAGACGTGAATTCAGGTGACAGGAAGTAACCTCTATGCCCCCCCCCCC